CATCACGTGGAAGGATTTCGAGAAGCTATGGTTCACCCGGTTCATGGTCCGCAACGTCGTGAAGGCGGCCATGAACGAGGTGTACACCTGCTCTCAAGGAAGTATGCCAACTCGAGACTGGACAACCAAGTGGCAGGAGATAGTGACCACGCCAGGCTTCGATTTCACTTTTCCAAATCAACGATCCGAGTTCTTCTCGCGATCGTGCGCAGGATTGCGGTCGGCACTCGGTAATGAGTACGACTATACCTCGTTCCAGGCTATCCTGGATCGCGCAAACCTGGTCATCCAAACGGACGACAAGGCCGCTAACGAGAAACAATCCCAGCCGCATTATGTGGCCAAGCAGGTCTATCAACGTCCGGCACATAACAATGCCGTGATTTCGGAAGAAACAGACGATCTCCACGCTGCAGCAGTATCCTCGAGTGATGGAGGAATTGTAGCAGCGCTCCCGCCGAAGTGTCCTAAGAGGGTCCGGTAACCCAAGGCGACACAAGAGACGACATCGACGGGAACTGGGCAGCAGCCATGGACGGCCTACAACATCACCAAGGAAGTCTATGAACTTCGTCCAAAGTATAGATATTGCCTTTGGTGCAATGGAGTCACACACTTGACTGCGCAATGCCCCGAAAAGGGCAAGGCACGCGTACACCGTCCAGCAAACTCGGGAAACTGAGTTATGCAAGGAGAGGGGCGACGTCTCTCCTCACTCCGCCGGACCCGGTTGCCTTGCTAGCAATTGATGTCACTACCGGGGAGCATGCGTTAGTCGCTGATTCTCGTGCTACGTACGAGGATTATGCCGCCCAGCTGGTACCACCATTAGACCAGCCAAACCACGTGCATTTCGCTAGCATATGCGCAGCCTGTACACCGTCGGCAAGTGATCCGGTCAGTTCGCCGCTGATTTCCGAGGACTCGACGGCGTGGTCAAGACTTGGGGAGCTTGACCCGCTCACGAGAGAGGACTTCGCYTGGATGCCTCTACCCTCGACCGGAACCTTGCCAAGGCCGCATTGCAACGCCTTAATGGCAGATTTACGCTCCTATTTGCACACTACAGTACCATCTCCGTTGACGGACAAGGGAGTAGCGGTTGTCGATCTCCGCTCCTATCTTGCGAAGATTGACCGCGAGTACGCCACCCAAAGGCACGCCGAAACCGACGCGCCTTTGCTCTATATCCACATTCAAATCGGAAAGGCAACCTGTAGTGCCTTGATTGATTGCGGAGCGTCTCGCAACTTTATGAGCCAAGCCTTTATGGCCCGCGCAAGTCTTGGCCCGCGCGTTCGAAGGAAGACGCAACCCACGCAAGTCACACTCGCGGACGGCCGCACGCAAAAGTCAATTGACCGATGCGTCGACGGCGTTCCGGTATACTTTGCGCCACTTGCGTGCGAGCCSGTGTYTKTTGACATCCTCRACACCAAGTTCGACATGATTCTAGGCATGTCTTGGTTGCGTAGCGCCGATCATCCGGTGAACTTTCATGACCGAACCGTTCACATCCGTGATCGGAACGGAGTGTTAGTCCCATGTACGGTCGCGACCCCTCACATTTCGATAGCTTGTCACGTGGTTTCCGTTGCGAGAATTCGCGACGCCATTGCTCGGAATGACGTCGAGGAGATGGGCCTTGTATTCTTGCATGCTCTCCCCTCGCCGGACGGACCAGCCGCGTCACCGCCGGACCCACGCATTTCTCACCTCTTGGACGAGTATAGAGACGTCTTCGAGGCTCCCACCGGAACGGTTCCGGATCGGCCCATACGTCACGGGATCACTCTCGAGGCTGGCGCCGTCCCTCCGCGTGGATGTATCTACCGCATGAGCGAAGAGGAACTCGAGGTGCTTCGCGCACAACTCGATGGCCTTCTCGACAAGGGCTGGATTCACCCTAGTTGCTCACCATACGGTGCCCCTGTTCTCTTCGTCCGGAAGAAGAACAAAGATCTACGGCTATGCATCGATTATCAGAAACTTAACGCACAAACCGTAAAGAACGCCGACCCTCTCCCTCGGATTGATGATCTTCTTGAGCGGTTAGGCGGCGTGACGTACTTCTCGAAGTTGGACTTGAAGTCAGGTTACCACCAAATTGAAATCCAGCCTCAAGACCGGTACAAGACCGCGTTCAAGACGCGGTACGGGCATTTTCAGCGGGTTGTCATGCCCTTTGGCCTCACCAATGCCCCCGCGACTTTCCAAGCAGCGATGACAACTGAGTTTCGCGACTTGCTCGATCGCAGCGTCCTCATCTACCTTGATGACATCTTGGTTTACAGTAGGACGTTGGACGAGCACATCGTACACCTTCGCGTTGTTCTGGATCGTTTGCGACTAGCCAAGTACAAAACGAATCTCGACAAGTGCAAATTCGCCAAGCAAGAGCTTGAGTACTTGGGTCATTTTGTCACGCCGAAAGGCATTCGTCCCTTAGCGGACAAGATCCAAGCCATCGTGGATTGGTCGGAACCCCGTTGCACAACGGATGTACGCTCTTTCATGGGTTTGGCTGGATATTATCAGCGATTCATCGAGTCATACTCGAAAGTGGCTGCTC